GCACGTCAGTGCCCATTCTCGCGCTCGACCACCGAGCTTTGAGATGGCTAGCGCTACGTGCTGCTGCTCGGTCTGGAGCATGGCGGATGCGATGACCATCTCGACCTCTCTCACTCAGAGCAGAAATTCCTCTTCATCCTGCCCCTCAAAGAACTTCACGCTCACCACGAGCGGCTTAAGGCTGGTAAAATCATCCGTCACCGACGGTGGCGTCATAGACGCAAATGATGCGGACATCTTCTGCTGCAGGTGCTCCAGAAGCGCGTTTTCGTAACTTGAAAACGCCTCAAGAGGCGCACCGATTGCCTCGGGACCTTGTGCTACAAAGTGTTGCACGCCCTCAGGGCCAGGCAATGACATCATCTTTTTAAGCCCATCCTGCATGCCCTGGGGCAAAGAGTGAAATTTCTCCATCCTCACAGAGGATCAGTCTAAACGACTCAGGTGTAGATTGGCTACAAGTGCTACCAAGTGCAGCGGGGCTGCCGTAGCTTAGCACTTGAGGAAGCGTACTTTAGGTCACCGACCTTTCGGTCTTTACAAGAACCATGAGTTAGCGGATCGCAATCCGCTTATTCTAAAAGTAATTATTGCCTTTCCAAGGCTAATTGACACTTCAGTTTAAAATCCAAAACCGATTTTTGTTTATTTCTTAATCCTAATTTAAAATTTTAGATTTTCTTTAATATACTAAATGAATATAGTATACTATAAATACATGCATAACTACTGGCTGCCTAGCCCCCGTACCGTATTTTGTTTGGGTGTGGTCACACCATGCACATCTCGTGTGACACACACCCCTGTCACCAGGCTACGCGTAACCTTGTCACAGGTACGCTACGGTATCTGAGGATGCCACGCCAAGCCGGTATCGTTTACCAAGATAGAAGTAACATTTCGATTAAGGCATGTTCAGATGTAGAGTGGGGCAGCAATACCAATGACAGACGTTCGATTTCAGGAGTTTTAGTCATGATTGCAGGCGCGCTAGTGGTACTTACGTCAAAATACCATCGAACGTTGCACTCAGCACGCCTGATGCTGAGTACATAACTCTCAGTCTTTGCACTAAAGAAGCTAATTAGATGCGTGCGATGTTTACGAACAGGGGATATGAGC